TGTTTACTGAAGAAGAGATATCTCGTCTGGAAGCAAAATGTACAGAAGATGTGTATGTAGTGCAGATGGCCATAGATATGCATTAAAATTATGTACAAATACATTGTTTCATATATATATATATATATATAGATATATATATATATATATATATATATATATATATATATATATATATTATATATATATATTGCCGTATCCAAAGAATCTACTAGAAAAAGAAACATACTTTAAAACAGTTTGTTACAAACACACAAATCTGCTCACTGACACGTTGTATGTTGTCTTTTCTTTCAGTATGAATGTCAATGTTTAACAGTTAAATGTTTGGAATACCCAGAGGCAATGAAGAAAAATTTCTAGAAAAGAGTTGAAGATGAAACTGACATAGAGACTTCTTCAGGCGCGACTACATCACTCATCAAAACTATACTGTTAACACACAAAAGAAACGCAACCCCTATTGAAGATGTAAAGGTCAGACAACTTTTGACTTGTTCCACAATTTTATTTGACGGAATTATTGTTTTAATCCAGACATTAGGAGATCTTTCCATCTTGAGCTATGGAATGATGTTCATTATATTTGGTTTGCACTATATTTTTGGCGAATGACACCTCTGTTTTAGTATGGTGTATGACCCCGACTGACCCCTAATAAAGCATGGTATCCTGAACAGCCTTATCTTATTAACCACTGCATTTGTTGCTGTGAAATGACTTCCTAATTAAAATTATGTCTATAAAAACTTTCCGTCCTTTTTAAGCGCAGTTGTTGTTGTTGTTGTTATCGATCCAGCGGCGCATGAGCTTTCGCCCTTTGGCCCAATGCCATGTAGTGGAATTTGCATGTTTTCACAAGCTGTTCTTTTCCTCCGTACAAGGTGTTCCACTTGTCTGGTCTCGGAGGGAGTAGCGTTCTTCTTGTCTCACTGAGTTTTGGGTACTCAAAGAGATGGTGTTCAACAGTTTCGTAGGGGTAGTAACATAGCTGGCACTCTGGGGGGTGTTGTGGCTGTATTCTGTTTAGGTGTCCATTAAGCGCAGTCAATAAGAGGCTCGCTTTCAAATTCAACTGCCACTCGCTGCAGCCAAGGGTCAGTGTTCGAAACCGGGCGGCTCCCGGCGTTGACCCAGCCTCTAGGAAATGGACACCAAAGTGATACTCTGGGGTAAATGGAGGAACGTCGCTGTAGCTACAGAGTTATGTGCGAACGGCGACGCAGGCGGACAATTTTTATCAGCTGTCCGTACTGGTGGCAGAGCACTTATGGTTTATAACCGTGTGCAATGACGCTGGTTCACATCTCCCGACTTTATCTTTACTTATGAAAAAAAAGGGGGTGGGGGTGGGGGGGGGGGGAACCTAATGTGGAAACTCGGAAAGCCAGGCAGAAAAGGTATGTGTAAATCTATCAACTGCCTTTCTCTGCCTAATGCTGTTTGGCGTCGCAGGCACGTTCTAATGATCGGTTTCCGGGATAGTGAGGGCTCGTTAGCTTTCTGCGTGATGATATTGCTGAGTTTCAGCCAGTTGTTAAGTCCGTCAATCCATGTACTTCTTGGCCTTCCTCTGCCTCTTGATGTTTCCATTCTCACGCTGTTTGCTCTTGCAACCGGTAACGCTGGGTTCATTATGACCAAGTGGCTGAACCATTTCAGGTGTTGTTTCAACCATTCTAAAAATACTATCGTTTCTTTTGTGGTCTCTCCTGTGATTACTGGATATATATATATATAAAAAAAAAAGGAACTAAAAACTGAACTAAAAATAACTTGCATATCCTTCCAGAATGTTCAGGACCAACTTAAAAATCCGTTGGCTGTTTATGGTTTTACTATGCAGGTTTGCTTCTAGTAGTTTGCCTTTGCCTTCTGAAGATTTCACATCGTTATCGAGAGCAACAGCAATCTACTAAAGGTAAAATGACTAATAAAACCAAACAGCCAAAAAAATCTACTTCATTGCACCGGGTTTTATCACATATGGCAGGGTCTCTCTCCTCTGAACGGCTAGTCGCCTACTGAGAGATTCGCACACTGCACGATCTCAGCAGCTCCAGCAACGTGGAGAAGAGGGGTAAGGGGGGGGGGAGGTGACGTCCGTTAAACGAACTCACTGCCATCAGAGCTCAAGACAAACGACCACCTCGTGACGGAGATCGGTGCGGTTAAGACATTAAGCTTGGCAAGAGATGCAGAGAAAATTGTATATGGTTAGAAGGTTAGTTGCGTATCCTTTACAGGACGTTGCAGAACCAACCCCAATGAGTACAACAGTATCATGTTTCACACTATGTGTGGTGCATTCTTGTATAAGAATTGAAGAAAGGAGCAAATCCGTCCCTGCGGACAAGTATTTTTGTGTGGCAACTTGAAGATGCAGCCACCCAGACACTTGGTGCCAATTATTACCATTAACCTTACACTAAATCAGTAGCAGTGATGAGTACAACAGTTAGCTATTGGCAGATCAGGAATCATTCTTGACGAAGGAAGTTCTTTGTTGGATAATGACCTATTTTTTTATATCATTCTTCAATATCATTCCTTTGAGACTATTTACTAATGTTGCAGTTATTACATTATGTGTGGTTTTTCTAGGCAAATTTACGCCCAGCAGTTTGCCATTGCTTCTGGACGATCGGCTTTCTTGATACCACTGTCCAAACCAACGCAAGGCGCAATGCCCGCAGCTGGGATCGAACCTGGCATCCCGGCATTACGAAGCGTTCGCATCGACTAAGCCACAGTCGCAGACGTATAATGTAGCTGAATGTAAAAAAAAAATAATAACACAAGCAACTTACAATCACCAAAATATCACATGACAGAGAAGACAGTAAAGTGATGAAATCAGCGATGTCTGCTCCAGATAAGAAATGTAAAGCAAGAACAGCTACATACATACATCTACACATGATGTAGTTTTTTTACTGCTACGAATATAAAGTCAGATTATATAAAAATGGTACCTCATTTGTACTTCTATAGCAGTGGTCTCCAACCTAGGGGTAGGGGGATGCTCCCTAGGGGGACGAGAGGAAGTTTCGGGGGTGTGGAGTGGGTGTGCAGTTATTTTGAAACTGAGTGCGTTTGTATTTGTAATAGTCTGTTATATTATATTTTTTCTCACTTTAATTATAAATAAAATAGTCGGATAAACTATTTATAAAACAGAAAGCCAAGGACACTCTTTTCTTTTTCGTTTTCATAAGCAGTATGTATATCTACTGTTCAAAATGTAAATAATACAATAACACAGGCATTTAATTATATATTAAGAACATTTTGGCCAAAACGAAACTCCATACTGACTGTTTCTCTTGTTGCGAAATCTATTGTACTCCTCTGTTTAAATCACCTTTTGTTATGGGGGGGAGGGGGGGGGGAGGTGGGGTGGTACGGGGCGTAGGGAGCCATGCCATAGACTTAACTATTTAAGTCTCAAGGAACGCATCACACGTTTCTAGGTTCCTATCTAGAAGTCCAATGAACGCATGATGCGCCGATTTCATTACTTTCCTTACTACACACTGGGCCTGTTTTGCTAAACCTCTGGGACTCAAAGAGTTAACTTGCCATAAACTCAAAGAGGGGGCGGGGGGGGGGGGGGGGGGAGAACGACCTAAAAAAATTGGAGACCACTGTTGTAGGGAATCAAAATAGGACAAATAATATGCCAGTTAGTTGTAATGGACCTGGGGAAATCTGAATCAATGAGCGAAAATTGTAACTTGGAATTTGGACGAAACGAAAGATATACGAAAGAAACGAATATTCCGACAAAAGTCTAACAACAGCCTTTACCTGAACTGATAAAGGATTTAGTCGTTTGGAAACACTGTTCTGTTTCTGTGTGCCCTTTCTTTAGTTGAGCACTCATGTTACAATATATCTTCATTTATTCTTTCTTTAACTCAACTCGACAGCAGTAATCCACATTTCAAGCCACAAAAAAAAAAAAAAAATTATGAAAGTGTGGATATATTGCCTTTATAAGCAGACACTATGTTGTAAACTTGTATTTTTTTAACAGTTAAAAAAAATATGTTAACTGTTTTTTTTTGGACTGGTTGTTTTCTGGACAATGAACAAAAAAAAAAAAAAAAAAATGAACAGTAATTAATTAACTGAAAATCCAATGTTCGTTGTCCTGATTTAGTGCTTGAATTCTCGCGTCAGTTTGGCTAAATATTAGAAGGCAGTAGCCAGTCAGTATAACAGATTGTGTGGCCTCACGACCAAACACAACTTTTGCTCATTCCCCTTAGAAAGTTTTTGGGGGATGGAGCTGCAGGGGCTTAAGTCTTGTTCAACTACTTGATAATAATAAATAAAAAATAATAATAATATGCTGAGACGCATTTTTTTAATATATATATATATTAATACATAACATATATTGGCAATGGCATCCGTCAGTCCCGGGGGACTATGGAGATGTGCCGCTGGCTTTGGGAACAGCATCTGCTGTATCGCTGGAGTGACCTCTCCAGGGCACAGGCCAGGGCGTTTTGATTTGGAGTACAGACTGTTGCCCAGGCAGCAAGTACCCCCTCTCTACGTCGCCGGTGATAATACATATATTATATATGCATATATATTTATAAGCTGGTGTGGTGCTGCCCACATCACCCACCAAGTGCCGATTCGTCTATAAAATATAGGTCTAGCAATACATACCAAATACGCCTAAAGGCGTGAAAAAAGGTCAGGTACTTTACTTTACACATATATTTTTATACACATCTGTACATATATACAATTACGCACCTAAACAAGGTTAAGGTCCCTGGAGTTCACCTGGAAATTTAAAAAAAATGTGAACCTTTTAAACACTCGCCATGAATGCTTCGTTTGGTCGTCCCTGCTCATCAAACTACAAGGATGGTCAGGTAGGTAATGATTGAACTTTCAAGGCACTGCTATGTTGTCTAAATCTGCTTTCACACTTCTTAACGCAGGCAATAATGCAAATCTTCAAAGTAAACACTTACCTGGTTTGGAGTTTGAGATGAGGTGATAGTTGGCCAGTTTCCGGCCTGTGGAAGGACTCGAGTGGAGGCGACTTGCTAGAGACGCCGCTTTCCGGAACTTAAGGCGTGGTCGGCTGGTGGAGTTGATGTGGAGACTATCAGTGGAAGAATAACTCCGATCTTTGATGCTGGATACTCTTGGGTGCTTCTCTACAGAAAGAGATTTGTATCTTTTGAAAGAAGCTTTTTTGGACAGCGGCTTGTCTATGTCTGGGGGCAGAAGGCTAGCGGAGTCTGATGACGAGTAGTCGGGGCTGGTGGATTGAGCACCTGGATTGAGCGCGGCTATATCACCAGGTGATGACGCCACTGTGTGGAAATTAAAACGAGATGCTGGAAATGTTGAAGGTTGACCGCGTTCCCATGTTGTCGTTAATCCATAATCCAGTTTTTGGACAATCTGGCTTCCAGAACCGTTGGTGGAGTATGGGCTGTCCATGTTAGGGCTGTCCAGGCCATTGCCGTTAAACCACGTTTCTTGATTACTGTTGAACCCGTTGTTGTGTTTTTGCAGGTGGGGATAACTGAGAAATGGGGCCCGTTTTTGCTGCTGTTGGTGGTGGTGGTGATGAAATAAATGATGTAGTTGTGGTAGATGAGGTGGGGGATCGGGATGGGATTCCTTAAAGACCGTATCGTAACAAGTCCCTCCTGGGGATTGAATTACTTCCGGTTCGATGCTGGAAGCATCATCTAGTGGATTAACGTAGATGTTTTGTCGGTATCGCTCGCCGTTACTGTGGTTACCAGACCCCCGGGGGCTGCCATGAGGATGGGTCATGCAGCTGCTGAACGTGTCATTGCTGCTGGCCGTGCTGATCTGACGAGGAAGCTGCTGCAGCTCTATACCACTCCTGTCAGTGCTCACTCTCCCGATTCCGCCGCCTTCAATATGTCCCTGAGAAAAGCAGTGAAATTTGGTGAGCTTACGGATGCTAAAGTGTACAGAGTATCTGATAAGTTCCCATACATCGGACAATTGTATTACTCCAGCTGTACTTACACGTCTTCTTTGTCAGCGAATGACAGGCATTGAAATGTGTTTGCCAGCGGATGACAGGCATTGAAGTGAGTTTGATAGCGGATGAGAGGCATTGAAATGTGTTTGTTAGTGAATGACAGGCATTGAAATATGTTTGTTAGCGAATGACAGGCATTGAAATGTGTTTGCCAGCGGATGACAGGCATTGAAGTGAGTTTGATAGCGGATGAGAGGCATTGAAATGTGTTTGTTAGTGAATGACAGGCATTGAAATATGTTTGTTAGTGAATGACAGGCATTGAAATGTGTTTGTTAGTGAATGACAGGCATTGAAATGTGTTTGTTAGTGAATGACAGGCATTGAAATATGTTTGTCAGCGGATAACAGGCATTGAAATGTATTTTCAAAGCAATGCTAGTCATGTAGCGCATATTATATAAGTAAACATTTTTGTTTTGTTTTAAAGTAATGTTCATTTGCCCTGTGTATGGAAACATATGGGACCCCTTTATAATGTGAATATCATGATATCACACACTCATAATCTATATCGGTGTGATCTAAGACTGATCTATGGAACATAACATCTACTGTCAATGATGAAAGCTGAGTAATCCACTTGTGGGCTTCTTTTATAGTAAAGAAGTCAGGATAAAAAAAAAAAAATTAAAACATGAGCTGCAGTAACAACAACAAGAACAACAGCAGCAGCAGCAGCACCAGCAGCAACTACAACAGAAAAAAAAAAAATATGTATGTTTGTTATTTTCGGGTTGATAATTATTAGTTAACAACCACAAACACCCAACGACCTATATATACATTCATGAGCTGCTGCTGCTGCTGCTGCTGCTGCTGCTGCTGCTGCTGCTGCTTCTTCTTCTTCTTCTTCTTCTTCTTCTTCTTCTTCTTCTTCTTCTTCTCCTCTTCCTTCTACTCATCGTATGGAAGTGTGTAGGTGTGAATGTTTGTGTGACCCGTGCATGTGTGATTTTGGGGGAAGGAGGAGGATAATTGAGGGGGTAATTGTATAGAACTTCTGTGTGCTCTTTGTCAAAAGTTAATCTTCATTTCTTCTGCGGCCGTTCTTCATGCCGCCTTTTTCTCTTTTGTGTGTACTTCTCCTTACTCTTTGCATTTCTTCATCGTGACCTTGTGTCAGGTGGTCCCTATCACATATCAACGGAACACTCCTATGCTCACCCACTTGCCCACGTCTTGTACCCCCTATGTAAATTAACTAGTTTCAAATATAGACTCTTCTTTCATAAATAAATAGTTCTTTTAAAAAAAATAAGCATGGGTCAAGATATCAGGAGAAGTACTCTGTTGAACATAATTTTACTGGGAGGGAATTATATTGTAAATTCACTCACATGTAAGTGATTTTTATGAGTAGGGGAGTCATTTTCCAGGGCTGAACTATCGCTTTGTTGATGATGATGATTTTAAGCGAAGGACCCTTTCACCGCACTGACACTTGGGGCATGTGGTGCTGGAGTTAGATTTTCATTGACCAATCGACATTCAATGGGCCATCAGGTTAAGATTAAATGAATCAATGAATGCATTGCAACAAAAGCCTCTGAACCGCTTATACAAATACAACAATGATTACATCATCACCACTACTACTATTGCTACAAGTACAATAACACGATATACTACTACTATTGCTACAAGTACAATAACACGATATACTACTACTAATACAACAAAAAGAAAAACAACAACTGCTCCTTCTCTTCTTGATATCTCCCATACTACTACTGTTATTATACTATTTATTGTCTTACACCAACAACAACCACCACCACAGTCAACACAACTATTCATACTACTACTACTTCGACCGCTGCTACTGTCACTACTCCAACAACTACTAAGAATACATATCACTAGCACTACCACTAATACTACTACTACTACTACTACTACTACTACTACTACTACTACTACTACTACTACTACTACTACTACTACTACTACTACTACTACTGCTGCTGCTGCTGCTGCTGCTGCAACAACAACAACAACAACAACAACAACTACAACAACAACAACAACAACAACAACAACAACAACAACAACAACTACTACTACTACTACTACTACTACTACTACTACTACTACTACTACTACTACTACTACTACTACTACTACTACTACTACTACTACTACTACTACAATTACTACTACAATTAATACTACTGCTAAATTAACTACTAAAACACCTGCTGCTGCTACTTCTGCCACTACCACTACTACTGCAACTACTACTGCTGCTGCTACTACTTCTACAATTCCTACTGCTACAATTACTACTAAAACAGCTAGCTACTGCTGCTGCTACAACTAACACCAACACATCACCACTATAAAACACAATCTCCTATTTTTGATACAACTATACCTGCTAGTTCTCCCACAACTACTACTATTACTACAACTAAGGCCAGCACTGCTATAAACTGGTATGCCAGCAGACAACAACAACAACAATAATAATAATAATAATAATAATAATAATAAAAAGATAGTGTTTGTAGATGAGTGACAACAATGTCCCCACGGCCTGTCTGTTATAAATACTGGAGATTAGAAAATGAGCAACAACGAGTACAACGATGATGTTACATATAATAAAACTGCCCTGAATGCCTGCATTTACACATTTTTGCTGTTTAGGAAAAAAAAAGGGGGGGAGGGGTGGTTGAGGGGGGGGTGAGAACTTCTGGGGGTGAGAGGGGGGTGATTGCTGGGGAGGGGGTGAGAGAGGGGGTGAGAGAGGGGGTGAGAGAGGGGGTGAGGGAGGGGGTGAGAGAGGGGGTGAGGGAGGGGTGAGGGAGGGGGTGAGAGAGGGGTAGGGGGGTGAGAGAGGGGGTGAGAAGGGGGTGAGAGAGGCTAGGAGGGGGTGAGGGAGGGGGTGAGGGGGGGGGGGATGAGAGAGGGGGTGAGAGAGGGGGTGAGAGAGGGGGTGAGAGAGGGGGTGAGAGAGGGGGTGAGGGAGGGGGTGAGGGGGGGGTGAGAGAGGGGGTGAGGGGGGTGAGAGAAGAAGGAGGGGGTGAGGAGGGGGTGAGAGAGGGGGTGAGGGAATGGGGTGAGGGGGGGGGGGGGGGGGGGGGGTGGGGGGGGGTGAGGGATGGGGTGAGAGAGGGAGTGAGGGGGGGTGAGAGAGGGGTTGAGGGAGGGGGTGAGGGAAGGGGGGTGAGGTTGAGGGGGTTGAGGGATGGGGGTGAGGGAGGGGGTGAGAGAGGGGGGTGAGGGAGGGGTGAGAGAGGGGGTAGGGGAGGGGGGGTGAGAGAGGGGGTGAGGGAGGGGGTGAGGGAGGGGGTGAGGGAGGGGTGAGGGGAGGGGGTGAGAGGGGTGGGGGGGGGGGGGGGGGGGGGGAGGGAGGGGGGTGAGAGAGGGGGTGGGAGAGGGGAAGGGGGGGAGGGAGGGGGTGGTGAGAGAGGGATCTCTGAGCCTGAGAATTTAAGGTCGCCTGGCTACTGCTGTAGCCACGCACTGTGGAGGTGAGAATTTTAAAAAAGAAAATCCCTAACCTTACTAAGTATTTAAATCCGGGTCACCGGTTTGACAGTCCAGCGTGGTAACCGCTCGGCTAGCCGCTCATTGATACAAATAATAACAATAAAAATAAAAAATAGCGCCTGTGGGGTAATGACCACAGAATGGCACTAATACCAGTATTCACATCTGGTGTTGTTATTGTTGTTGCTGGTACCCTTCCGTCTTCACAGCAGGGTTGCCAAATTTTTTTGACGCCAGATTTTACAAATTTGGCGTATTTGAAATCGAGCTGTTAATGAGCTGGCGCATTTTGGCGTATTTGAGGTTTTCCTGGCTTTTTTTAAACAAGACATGCTAACATTTTCTTTACAGTTCCACCGTGGCAATAACGCTAACTTACTAACAGCAATGTAGACCTACAATTATCATCTTTGTTTCAGTTTGTCTTTGTTGTGATGTCCTGGCACGGTTGGTGCACGGACTAAAGGAGTTTCGCGCCATCTCTCAATGAATGAGCATCTGTGTATGAATTTGTTGTCTTCCTAAACGAACCCTGACTGCGATAAACCAAGGCCCTCTGTAATTTAACTATAATAAAGCACTACATGCACTACGGTAGTCACGTAGAATGGAAGTCTAATCTGTGCTGCTAGTGGGAGTTTACTGATAAAAAAAAAAGTTAATTTACTAGAATAAATGCGGGATTTAAAACCAAAACCCACCAGTGATACCAAGTGATTCAGACTGTTCAGAAACTACTTGAGGATAGAAAGTAGAGTTGATGCAGACCTAGTTCTAACTGTGACAGATTTTAATTTTCTTTTACAAATGGCAACGTTCTTGAAAATTACGGTATAAATGGAACAATTTTAGATTGTGTTAGGGCTATTTATAGACAAAGTGAAAGCGCCATTAGAACAAGAGCTGGCATCACAGACTGGTTCCCAGTAACATTAGGAGTAAGACAAGGTTGTGTATTATCACCTTTACTTTTCATAATATTTATGGACAATATTAATAAAATAGACATAACACCAACAGATGTCAATAAACAGGAGGACTTCAAAGAGCTGCTCTTTGCCGACGATAGATGCATATTTCACAATGATAGTAAACAGCTGCAAGACCACATAAACCTACTACACGACAGTTGCCTCAAGCATCATATGAAGATCAATACTGAAAAGACAGAAGTCATGAGCATAAGTAGAGAGCAACAGACCATCGACATAAAGATTCTAGATCACAGCCTAAAACAAGTGCAAGAATTTAAATACTTGGGAAGTATCTTTACATCCAATGGTAAAATAGACAGAGAGATCGAAGCAAGAATCCAACAAGCCAACAATGTCGCATACCAGCTTGCCCCAATTTTAAAGCACCCTGCTGTCCCAGCTGAGATAAAAAGACAAATTATAAATACAATCTTTATACCGACATTAGGTTATCAATGTCAGACTTGGACATTAACAAAAGAACACGAGAGAAGACTAACCACCTGTGAAATGAAATGTTTGAGAATGGCTGCGAATAAAACCAGAAGAGATCGAGTGAGAAACGATGTGATTACAAGAACTATTGGAACCATACCCATCGTTAAATTTATTGAGAAGCAAAGAATGAAATGGTTTGGTCACCTAATGAGAATGGAGTTAAACGATGCCAGCATCAAGAGCATACAACATGAAAATCGAAACACCAAGAGGCAGGGGAAGACCAAGAAGAAGATGGATTGAAGGAGTCACGGACAACTTGAGACTTCATAACATCACGGCATATGAAGCGACTGAGCGCGCCCTGGCTCGGTTGCCGATCATCTGATAGACTGCGACGCCTAGCGGCACAAGCAGATTTTGACAAAAGAAGAAGATTAACAAAATAGAAAGCATCTTATGACAGCAATAGCAAGTATAATAATAAATGGGAGAAAACATTTCCATGGCTCAAAAGATCTTCAGACGGATCAGAGGCTGCACATTGTAAACTGTCAGTGAACTATTGTTACCAAGAATTAGTGCCATTTCAAATCATTAAAAAAAAAAAGGATGGAAAATCCGCCAAAAAAGCCAGTCACAGCTTATTACTATAATGACTGCTATGCAAAGTAACGATTAAGTTAAGACAGCAGAGTTGCTAATTGCTGATTATATAAGTTAAATCATGACAGCGCATGATCAGGGGTGTATATTTGAACACGTACAGTAACATAGAACTAAATGTTTATACATAAACATTTTTTTATATCGTCTGCACTTAAGGCTCAAAAGGTTTACGCTGCACCTTCAACTTGTTACAGTGAGAACGACAGTCAGGAATTCAGTCTACACGTTTCAATGTGGAGTGAGTATAAAGTTATATTTAATTTGGCTTTTTTTCTGGCTTAATTTGGGTAGTTGGCGAAAATGACGTTTTTAAAAAAAAAATTCTGGCAACCCTGCTTCACAGACGCTAGTGCCACTAGTAATGGTATATTGTGCTATGCAGAGGTATGAGAACGAAGTTCATCCTCTCTACAACACAAATCCTGGGCAATACTGTAGAGACTATGTGTGTACACTGACATATCAACGAGTTTTCCCAACATGTTTTCCTAGCAGGTGTTAAAGCAAACATCAAAGAAACAAACTGAAAAAAAAAAATATAACCAGTTTTTTTATTGAGTGTGTGTGTGCATTTCTCTCTTACATGATGAACTTTGAACCTAACAAACAGTAAACGATATATCAAACCTGAGACTGGGTGTTGAGCACAGGTTGTGATGACGTCATTCGTCTGAGCGATTCCTCGTCGGCATCTAGGAGGTTGTTGGTGCTGAGGTTGGTGGTCAGGTCGTCCCGACTTCCCGGCTCCATGCCAGGAGACAGTAGCATTTCGTTGTTGTGATAAAGCAAAGCTTCACCTTGCATTCTGTTGTCCTGCGTCACAGCGCTACTGCTATACACAGGAACGCCGTGGCTTCTCTTACTGTCCAAGCTGCAGGAATCACCGCCGTTGCTTTCAACGTTTCCCTTGTGGGATGGGGTCGTGTGAACCTCCATGAGGTCCACGCTCCTGGCGAAGGCGTCTCGCAAGTTGATCGAATGAAAAGAGACAATGCTGCCAGTTCTCTTAGCCTTCTCAAGAGCCTCTCGCCGCTTGAAAGCTTTCTCCCGCCTCATCTGATCTTTGTAGAACTCAGCGAAATTGTTTACGATAATGGGAATAGGGAGAGCAATGACTAACACACCGCAGATGCAACAAACGCTACCCACAACTTTTCCCAGCACAGTCTTTGGGTAGATGTCTCCGTAACCGACCGTGGTCATTGTAATTGCAGCCCACCAAAATGTCTCAGGAATACTTTTGTATTTCGTCTCCGGTTCATCCTTCTCAGCGAAGTATGCCAGAGACGAAAACAGAAGTATGAAGATAGCCAAAAACATTAGCAGCATTCCTAGCTCTTTATACGATCGTTGCAATGTATACCCTAAAGACTGGAGTCCCGTAGAATGACGAGCTAGTTTTAGAATACGTAAAATTCGCATAATTCTAAAAATCTGCACTACCCTTCTAACATTCTGAAATTGTTCTGTGGTGCTTTTATTGGTCTCAGTTAGACCTAGAGAAATAAAATACGGCATGATAGCCAGAAGATCTATGACGTTCAGTGGACCTTTAAAGAATTTCCACTTATTGGGAGATGCCCAAAATCTGGCCAGGTACTCCAACGTGAACCAGCCAATGCACACTGCTTCTACAACAGCCAGTTCTGGATTGTCCTGGTTGTTTGAGGGATCCGCTCGATCCTGGAGGGCTGGGATTGTGTTGAGAGTCAGGGCTATCGTGGAGAGTACGATGAACAAAATGGAGATGATAGCAACGACCTGAGGAGTGCGGATACAACGATCAATTACTACAAAGTATTCAATTATATTTTTTAAAAACAGAACTACGCATGACCTTTAGGAAGTTCAGATAAATAGACTAATAAACTATAAGAACAAGGAGTGCTGCCCTTGTGTGCGTTATTTTCAAGCTACGGGAAGCTAGTACTAAAGACAACTATCTCTAACTAAATGCTTTGAATAAAATATTATTATTTACTACAATTCCGCTTCATGATCAAATTTAAAACGTCTTCATTGGCTGTATTAATGACTCGTAGAATAGTGTAAGGCAGAAGCGAGGGCCCGAGAATTTAAGGCTTCATGACTAGTGCAGTCGCCACAAACTATACAAGTGATAATGTGTATTTTCGTCCCCAATAGAAAAGTCGAACCCAAACCCGCAGGAGAGCCCATCTTCCTAACCATTCCACCATTCGAATTTGGTTTCTTCTTCTTCTTCTTTGCGTTCACCAGCTGTAAACTCCGGCGGAAAGTTCTGGTTGTTGGTCCACTTCTGGACTTTAGTCTTGTTCCAGAACCTGAGTGTTGTGTGTGCATCTGTTTTACAGATCTGACTTATTTCTATGCAGACTGTTGGTTCCTTGCCTCTCCGGCAGATGCACTCCGACTTTGAAGGAAGCTCCCAATTAGTCGACTCTTACGACATGCTTTTTGGGTCGGCAGTGCGTCTATTCTTGTTTTCCTTATAACAGGGCCCTGGAACCCACACGGGGAGAATTTGGTTTCAAATGAAACGTAAATAACGTTTGGGTTCCAGGGCCCCATTGTGGGGAAAACAAGAATAGACCCACTGCCTCCCCAAAAGCATGTCGTAAGAGTCGACTAATTGGGGAGCTTCCTTTGAAGTCGGTGTGCATCTGCCGGAGAGGCAAGGAACCAACAGTCTGTATTCAAGAGAATGAGATCTGTAAAACTGATGCACACGCAACACTCAGGTTCTGGAGCAGGACTGCAGTTCAGTAGTGGACGAGCAACCAGAACCTTCCGCCAGAGTTTACAGCTGGTGAACGCGAAGAAGAAGAAGAAGAAGAAGAATAGACCTCTACGCATTAACTATGCAGGTCTTGATGTATTTTTTTTTACCAGTACAGAGAAATCTAGTTCTGGTTTCACATATGAGCGCCCAGCTTCCTAACCATTAAGTCAGTCGTATTTAGATTAATATAAAGCATTAAAAATTGTACCAAATAACAAGCCAGCCAACAGACAGAAGCAAACTTAATAGCAGCTTATAAAAAATTTACTCCTATACAAGAACACTGTGTAAAGGCGCAACGAAACAAACTATTGAACGCTAATACAGGGGAGATTTTCACGACACAAACTTGATTTAACAGAAATAAAATATTTAACGAAGGGGCCTCATAACGATAATAAGTGTAAATGTTAAATCGATTTGTCCTTTTATAAAGATCCCAGCAGTAAATACGAAATGAATGCATAGAAGAAAACCGCAGACTAGTTATAGTGGCGTTAGAAAGGTGGAACTTTGAATTGTGGGTAAGAAGATCAAGGAAAGAAACTTTTCCGTTTTTGTTACTTTGCAGCAAAATGTTAACGGAACAGGGTCGGTCTGCGTCTCGTTTGCCTCAGTGCCTCCCACTATCTTATCTGCTGCTACTTATCTTGGATATGGGAGCATGTGTCCAACAGCGGAACAATGAGGTTTGAGGTTTGAACAACAGATCAACATCATGGCACACGGGGAGTAACCCATAAGTGCTCCGTTCTGCTTCTAAATCCAGTTTGAGTCCGAAGAAGCTCAGCACAGCGCACAGGCTTTTTAGCCCCGGTGAGGATCCTGAAATACTTTAAGTGGATTTTTAACTCCAAATTTTGCCCGGGAAGCGCCGTTAGGCTACTCTTTTTAATTTCCAACTACCAAGGAACAATTTGTCGCTGGAACTGTGAAACGCCCAATTCCACATATGAATTTTAAATATTTTTTCTCTCAGTAAATATGGATTTTCTCTTGGCATTAGTAAACCATAGTAAACCAATACAGAACCGGTGGGGCCTCGTTAGCGCAGTCGATAGGAGACTCGCTATCACATCCAGCTGCAAATAGCTGCAGCCCACGTCCGATGTTCGAAACCGGGCGGTTCCCGGGGTTCACCCAGCCTCTAGAAAATGGGTACACGAGTTTAACACTCCCAGTCTACTAGTTCGTTACCCAAAACGCCAACATGGCCTGGAGAGAAGATCCAAAATATGCTCGCTACCCGTGACCTTCCCAATGAAGCTTGCCACTCTGCTCGAAGCATCGAAGTGATGATGATAATCTGTCGACTAACTAACTAACAAATATCAAGAAAGATTAACAAAAAGGACTTCCTGCATTGAAAGCTATCGATAATATCGAAAGAAAACTGGATGTGCTGTGGTTCCTCAGTGCATATGCACGAACCGCTACTGGCGTCGAGACTTTGCCACGCTAAGGCATGTGATGACTAAACAGAATCGAAGAAACAGAAGAACGCAGTGACGTAAATGTAAAGTAAAGGACCCTTTTCCACGCTTTCAGGTGTACTGGGCATATAGGGTTAGACCTACATTTTTTAGACCAATCGGTAATCGGTAGGTGAATTGGTCACTATCACGCCGACCGTTTTTACTCCCTGGGACTTAACACGCACCTATTTCATGCTCGGTCGACCTGGGAGCAAAGGTTATTTAGAAAAAAAAAGTCTTGCTCTGTCAGGACCTGAGTCCACGACCTTTGAATCGGCAGGCAAACATCTAGCCGCTACACCACGAAAGCTCTAATAACACATGACAAAAATATAACAGACGAAACAGTTACGAAGATGTTATTTTCAAACCGTTCATCTTGTATGTTATTTTGTTATTTGTATCACCCCTGTCAATATTAAATGATCCCACCTCAGCTGAAGGAAAAGCCACAACAGATACCCCCCCCCCCCCCCTCCCCCAACAGGGCTCTTTTTTCGCGATGATCCAAACACTGCATGCGGTCGTTATGTGAAAATATGCTTTGCATGGAGCTCTCCCCATGTCCTCCCCATCTTTCTAACTTCATTCCCCAGCTCTCTTCTCCGTGTGTTTTTTGGCCTTCCTTTATTCCTATGCCCCTGTGAGTTCCAATGCAAAGACATTCTGTTTATGCTGTTTTCCTGTTTACTAACTCTATAATGTTTCATTTCCCTTGCTACTTCCATTGTTCTCCCTATATCATAGAGAGTTCTAACATTCCGGGTGCCAATTCTGGAGGTTTTCCTAGCTGAGAGAAGGTACGTCAACGATCCGGACTCCTTACGGCTTTCTCCACACCGTGTCATACTTCTTCTATTTGAAGAGCCTCCCCTCATCTTGGTTGGCTAGGATTTACTTGCTTCTCTTTTTGACTTATCCATGGTTGGTTGGTTTTTGTGGCTATGGTTTTTACAGGATGAGGTAGCCAACCTCAAGCTCAACCCTACCCTTAGTCGCCTCTTACGACATGCATGTTAGGGTGCAGTGTCACTATTCTTTGCTTTCCGTGAGGACCCCGGTGACACACCATGACTTACTCATATATTATTAAAGAATATGTGACATACGGCCAACACACTTAAGCTTAAGACCCAGCGATCACTCATCACAAATATCAAAGGCAAGCAGGTAACATATTAGTCCTTTCGTTTCCCTACTTTATCTTATTTGTTTCGTATCGTAATTGCTCCTCATTTTCACATTTTCTCCAGTTTCGCGTTTCCAGTCCAAAGCTGACTTTCGGCTGTTTGTAAGCACGCAGGCAACAATGGTAACATCTCAAGAGATACAGAATGAAACCAGAGTGACGGCAGCAGACGCGTGAGACTGAGATCTCATTCACACATTCTGAGAGAAAAATCGATGAAGGACTTACGAAAACAAAACTCAAAGCAGTTCCCAAATAGAAAAGTTGCGCAGGGAGAAATTCCTGCGTGTAATGTCACATTTGATGCGTGTATTATTACGGTCATTCATTCATTCATTCAGTAGCATGTCCCTCGCGGAACCTCGCTGCCATAACAACCCTCCGGAAAACCTTCCTATCATGAGCAAGATGTCCTGCGTCTGATACACCCATCTGGAGATCATCTGCCACATCCTGCACCCATCTTCTCCTTGGCCTTCCTCTTCCTCTCTTCCCAGGCATATACCCCTCCATTATTGTTCTCTCTAGACCTCCATGACGTTTCAAGTGACCAAAATATTTCAATTTTCTTTGTTTTATTGTCTTTACTAGCCAACCCTCTTCAATATTCAGCTCTTGAAGTATGGATGCATTTGTTCTTTTCTTTACCCAAGATATTCTTAGAACCTGTCTGTAACATTTATATTCAAATGCATTTATGCGCTGTTCCGCTTGTTTAGTAAGTGTCCAGGTCTCACAGGCGTATGTTGCAATGGAAAGATGCATGCTCTTAAAAATCTGACCTTTGTAATTCTATCTGTACAATTCCATAATTTATTCAGTTGTTTTAGTCTTTGAAGAGCAATTGATAGTCGCCGTTTAATTTCTTTCATTGTGTCCCCATTGTTGGTAACCAGTGACCCAAGATATTCGAAATTTTCCACCACTTCCAATCTTTCTTCATTAACATATATTTCCTTCTCCATGGCAGTTTTTGTTTTGTATGCATTATCTTTGTTTTTGTTGTGTTAAGAAATAAGTTATGATTTTCACTATTTCTTTGGAGTGAGGTTAATAAGTTTTCTAAACCATTTTGTGATGTTGATAGTAATACTGTATCATCAGCATAACGAATTTCTGGTATTTCATGACCACCGATGTTTAGGGCATCATATTGTTCCTTGTTTATATCATCTCTTACATTTCTCATTATATTTTCGGCGTACAGGTTGAACAAATACGGTGACAGCACACATCCCTGACGGACTCCTTGCTTGATGCCAAACCAGTCTGATGTCTCTCCATCTATTCTGACTGCTGCTTGTTGGTCTTGATAGAGCATTTTAATGAGCTGCAC